GGCGGAAGCTGCCGCATGCCGGCCGGCGGCAATCTGGGCGCCATAAGAGGACCTCTGTTCAATGGGCTCATAGTTCTTTTGCGATACCTTTCACCTATTCTCGGAACGGGGTTTCTTCTTCTAATGAACGATGCCGCGCGAACTTGATCTCCTTCCGACGTTCTCTCTACAATTCAACGGTATAATCACGAATTCGCTCTTGCACGTCAGACACGAGGTTATGAAACGACACGCGACACGCGCGCGAATCGCACCGACACGAAGTTGTTCGCGTTCCGTCACTTGATATCGCTCGAGCGAGAATTATCGGAAAGCGTATCACTCCAAGAGCAAATACATAACAGTTGCTTTCTCTTGATTCGGGAAATTTTTGTGAGAAGCAACCACAGAAGCAATATAAAATTTAAATAGGATCCGTATACTTGCCACTGTCTTCAACTTGCTCCTCGCAATGGTGTAGTCAGGTGTAATTACACTCGTAGTTTCACACGCAATTCGCAAATGCGCTCGTGCGTTCATAAATGCATCCGCTCGTAATTCCAGCACGTTTACGATTATGCTGGATTCACACTGCATCCGATTTGTGTCGTACGACGCTCGGCAACCAATCAGAAAACAGGATTCCGATGATACGAAGCAAAATCCATCGAAACCCTGTTTTCTGATTAGTTGCAGAGCGTCGTACGACGCACATTTGATGTAGTGTGAATTCAGCATTAGAGATCATCCAAGAGGATTAGAGGGTCTCTAGATCCACTTAAAGTCGGAAAAACTTTGTTCGTTTCAAGGCCCGTCTGCAATACACGGAGTAAGAAGTAAGAGTAAGAAATTGACCAATCACAGTCGATTATTCTTCTCACATTCGACTGTGATTGGTCAATTTCTTACTCTTACTTCTTACTCCGTGTATTGTAGACGGGCCTTTAAGTCGTAGAAAATTTCCATTCAGTGCTTGCTTTGCAAACCATTCTCTCAGCTCGTTGATTTTTATATTCTTTGTTGCAAGCGCTTGCCGCTTCCTTCTCGAATCTGTCAAACATGTATTGCCGTTTCATAATCTCACGTACTCTAGTTTCTATCTATTTTGTTTATCAGAAACCCGTTTAATAGATATAATCATTGCTTCAATTCTTTTAACGCTTCCTTAACATCATCTATGTGTTCCGATAACTCTCCTCTCCCAACATCTTATTAAACGATTTCAGAAATTCCTCGATCCACTGATCTATGTGCTCGATATGTGAAAAATCCTAAAATTCCGATGACATGATCTATAGAGATTTGCATTATCATCTATAAAAATGTATAATACATTGTACAAATAAATATGATGACGCAATAAAATCAATCGTGATAACTGAAGAGATGTTATTCATATTTCATTTATTCTTAAATTGAAATGAATATAAATCAAGGATTTATATTATTATAGTAAGCAATAATGCAAAACCAAAATAATATCAGTCAAGTATACATTTTTCACTTAAAAGACAAATAGCACATATGTATTCATCAAAATAAAAATTTTTGATGCGTAACACATAAGTGAATATTGAATTTTGCTCCATTTAATTGAAACGTTGAAGGTATTAAAACATTAAGTACTTTACTAATTAATACTAACAATACTCCGGGAAAAAATCTTATATATATAAACATATTTTATATATAATTATATATAAAAAATATGTCAATTTTTTATATAATTACATATAATTTTATATAATTGTATATAATTATATATGAAACATTTTCCCCGGATATTTATATTTTAAAAGAACATTGCAATTACTTTTTTATTCAAAAATGCTAAAATAAAGAAATAACGCGATCTTTTTAATGTGTAAAACTTATAAATTTTGATTTCAATTAAAGTTACCTATTTAACTTTATTATAAGTTCGAATATTTCATGTTGTAAGATATACAAAATGTTCCTCACTAATTAACTATTATAATAATATAGCCCATCGAAAATAATAATAAAGGTTATAAGTATGAAAAACTAATTGCAATATTATTGTTCTAATGTAAAGATTAGTATTAAATTTAAATATTCAATTAATAAAAAATAACATATTATTATCGTAAAAAAGAAGTAGGAGTCGATTAATCCAAATTTATCATTTTTTCGACGCATGAAAGAATGAAGAGATCTGCTTTGTAATGCTCTATATTCGTAATATGATGACCTTCAGTTTCATTACGCTGTTGATTATCAGTTATATATTTCAAAACAAAATCTTGTTCTTTATTGTAATCCATTGCAGTATCTGCAACCAATTTTTTAAATTTTAATTGTTTTAGTAATTTATTCAAGCACAATCTGACAACAACAAAAAATGCAAGGCAAGAAACAATGTCACAAAATCAGAAAATAAATAGATATATCGATCAAAATTCAACCAAAACAGTTATATATTCACCATTAGCTTCCCTGGCTTCTATTTCCTTTGGATCAGTTCCTACCACATGTAAACTTAATTTTCTGAAATCATTTCCGTTCAGTGTACGTATAAACCATTTTCGTAGCTTCTTGATTTTTACATCCTTTATTGCAACAGTTTTCTTCTCGAATCTGTCAAACATGTATTGCCGCTTGGTAATCTCACTCCAGTTTTTACCAACTTCGTTTTTCAGAAACCCGACACTGGTACATTGCTTTAATTCTCTTATTATTAGCGTTTCCTTGATAATATTTAATTCCTCTTGTGGGAAGACTTCTAACATCTTACAAAACGACTTCAGAAATTCCTCGATCCGCTGATCCACGTGTTCTGTTGTATATTTATGTGCCTCAATGTGAACGGTAATGGAAAGTCCTAAAATGCCATTGTCGTCTCGACGGACGCAGAAGACCTTAGTACTAAGCTGTTCTTGGATACATAGTTGATTCCTTAATGGTTCTTGCATGATAATCTGAAGAGATATAGATGAGTGTGATATACGTAAATAATCGAATGATGTTATTCATATTTTATTTACTTTAAATGTAAAATAAATATAAATAATGAATATAAACCAAGAATTCCATGGCAAGCATTTAAAATACACGAAGCGATGTTATACAATACTTACGATTATCAAATCAATTAATATAGATAATTCAATCGACGTGACACCGGCTTGATAATAATTTGTTATTACAGAATTCGTATCAGTTTTGTTCATATTTTTTAACTTGCAATAGGATGTGCCTAAGGGTATCTGAGTGATTCTCGTCTGGGATATTGTATTAAGGATTAATGGAGAACATTTTATCTTTTCCATATATCTCTGTACAGCAGCAATCGCAATGTTCTTCGTCATATCGCCTTGCACAAGACACTGAACGTATAGATGATCGGTGAAAGAGTTCACAAATTTTTGGAATTCTTCAAAATTAATTTTACTTAGAGCAATATATGTGTCAATATGCGTATAATGGATAGTTTCCTTCAGTATCCATAATTTCACGTTCCTGTAAAAAGAAGTAAAAATATATACATTGATTTTAATCAAAAATATAATTTGACATAATTCATTTTATAATATTATTTGTCATGATTAATATGTATCATTAAATTTTTCTTAAATTTATATAAGAATTTAATAATTCTTGCGTATCTAACTGTACAATTTTAGTACAATTTTATAATTCTTGCATAATATTGTAATAATGCTCGATAATAAATAGTCAATACTTTATGAGTTTTTCAGGTTTCATAAATTTGTTATAATATCTTTCAAGTTGTTGCACTTTGACAAGTTCAAACAAGTGCTTCGTAACAATAGTTGAATAGCTCATCATGTATCTTGCAATAATTAGCAAGAATTTCTGCAATATAAATAAAATATTGATGTACCTTGAAATTATACTTGGAACTCCAACACATATTTTGAAACTATACTTACTAGTAGTTGTTCGCTAATTCCGTTCATTTCTATTATAATACCTGTCTCACTGACAGTGATATTATATTCAATCTGAGCCTTTACAGCTGGAAATAATTCTGCCCTCAATAGCTGTTTTAATACATCGCAATACATTTCCATGAATGCCTCACTGAAATGTCATTAGATATAATCTAAATATTTTGTTAACAAGATATAAATGATTCTATAAAAATCACAATATTGATAATTACAAGATAAAAATTAGTACATAGAATCTGCAATAGTACATTAACTACATTTAGTATAACTACTACTCAATGTAATATTACTACAATTTTTATGTTTATTACTTACATTTTTGGTGACTGAAAGTCCAGAGGGTAAACAATAAATTGAAAGTTTATATAACATTTTGGCCAACTAAACTTCTGGTGATGCCAAATCTGTATTAAATTAGTATCAGCTATTTTTATGGGATATTTTGGAGCCATCACAGGTATCGATAATAAAGAGACGTTGCTAGTAATGAATGTATTTGATAATGGTAAATGAAAATCTGGCAATGGTTTGATGGATTTCCAGCGTTCGATCCACTTTTGTGATATCTCCCCATCTGCGTAGATGGTATTGGTCCACAGATCGACTTTATTTAATCTAAGACGATGAAAATTTTTGTTGAAAATCATAATATTCACGGTCTCTGGTACCAAATAGTCCAAACATTTTTGTATAGCTTCTGGATCATACTCGAAGAAATTCTGCTTTCCAGTTATATAATCGCGCGGTGGATATAAATGCATATTCTTACACAAACAGTCTATATAATCATTATTACCCAACAATCTAAAAAAAATTTCCAAGAATAAGTGACATTTTACAAATATATTTTAGTGGGTTTTATTTTCTACACGTCTCTATTTATTTCTGAAATTGATTTACCTAAAATTATTTTCTGTAATTTTATAAATCTCGTCGTAAATTCTTTTCTGCGGACCTTCCCTCTTTAGTAAATTAATAAATGAAAATATTGCATCTAGAATATCGTGCACATGCTGTAGTCCCTCATAGGAGAGATCTAAGATCAAATTGAATAATGTATATATAGAATTTTGTTCAAAATCGTCTTCAGGGTTATCAAGTAAAAAATCGGAGCTCCACTGTTTCTTGCGTAGATAATCTATTAAGGAGCCTTTTCCTTTATGCTTAATAATCCATAAGATATAAGTATGTGGTTTACTTTTGTACAAATGTAGTACTGAAGGCATAGCCCATGTTATATGTAGCTGTAAAAGACAATTTTTGTTTTGTAAATTTATTCAGGATGTATAAAGATAGTTCTTTTTGGATTTGTGTGTTCAAGTCACATACTTGGCTGATATCTTTGACAGGTCTAACTTTATACACTTTTTGGAAAGCGGGAGTATTAAAAGGAACATTGTCTTTAAATTTGGTAAAGTTATCGGGCGGCAGCCAGTTACTTGGTATATTAGCAAAGAACTTTCTAACATATTTTTCCAATGCATTTAGTGGTAATGACGCCTATAAAAAGATACTACTATGTATTATATGTTATGAATTAAATATACTTGATAAGTTAATCAATTTTCTTATTTAATCAATAATTTTAATTTTGATGAACGATTTAAGTTATACTTGTATAACTAGCTTCATTCTGTGAGCGCTGTAATGACGCTCTCTAAATTTGTGTAGTTCATCGTATAATTTATCTATTTTGTTGTCATCCACATTATTGCTCATTATTACTGAATAGGACCACGGAAATTTATTGACTGGATGTCCAACTGGCACGGTAGAGGACAATAATCGATTTTTTCTGGGCACATCATGAGTTAAAGACGACTGCAACTCTATATGAACATGACACATTAAAAGACTGCACTTGCGGCAACATTACGATTATAATTTATGTACCTTTTTTTACAGACTCTATCATCCGCTTTATGACATCTTTCTTCATCAAGGGTTTAATGAAAAATTGAGTAAAACGATCAAGAGCTGATGACAATTGATCCTTTTGTATACCACCCTAATGAAATTTTTTCAGAATTTTTATACTAATTGGATTACTTTTTTCAGAATTACTAAATCTACATCTTTTCTTAGAATTTTTCATGTATGTATCAATAATATTCTAAGAGTTCTAAAATGTCTTAATCTGTATTTCTGAAAAAATATTTTAAACTTCTCTTCAGATTTGATAAGGTTTTTTCGAACATTATACATTACAGAGAAATTTTATAAATCTAAGGTCCGGTTTTTCATTATCTGATTAACTTATAGTTAGGTTCAACTTCATGTTTTATCCAATGCAATTTCATCTATGAGATGATGCCATGAAGCCCATTGGGTGAAATATTTGCAGGTTAATAAGCTTAATCACAAGTTAACCAGATAATATGAATAACCGACCTAAAAATATTTCTAAATACAAAATTCTAGAAAAGACGTAAATTTCGACACTTCTAAAAAGTATTCCAATTTGTATTTTAAAATTTGTATTTTTTAAAATCTGAGAAATTTTCTAGAGAGAGAGAGAGAGAGAGAGAGAGAGAGAGAGAGTGTGTAATGATATTGAGAAATTCTAAAAAATTATAACGTTTACATAAAATTTCTGAAAAATTATATAAAAAATTTTGAGAAAAATTTTCACCAGGGCAAAGTAAAATGTTGTATGCTCGTAATCCGTTATACTATTAGTACATCCGCCATGCTTATTGATAAATTCAATAAAATCATTTTCCTGCAAGTAAAATGACACTTAAGCATTTATACCTATACAAATAAATTTTATAATAAATTTACGCATCATATTTTAATTACATGTTCATATTTTTCGGATCCTCTAGAAACCATGTATTCAACAAAATGTGAAAGATCTGGAATTTCTGTATCGCTGAATCTGCCTACTCCCACGTCTAAGCCACATTCTACCTGTGTTAAAAAAAATTCATATATACACATTTACACATCACATATTACACATATGGTGTTAAGTCAAAAATGAACATTGCACAATTAATAGGATGATCCGTAAACAATCTTAAACTAAGCATTTAGAAATGAATTTTTGAAAATATCTTACAGATAGTAGAAATCAAATTTTTCAAACGAAAATTTCTGATAAAACTATAACAATACGCGAATCTTAGGCTCTAACTAAGGTATACTCAGTAAACACAAGTTATATGTAACGTATCTGTTAGTTGTAATTTCCCAATCAACAATATAACTATAACATACACTCCTGTTATATTATGGTTATATTGTTGAGTGGGAAATTACAACTAATAGGTACGTTATATGCAACTTTGTGTGTTCACTGAGATAGATATTTTTTATGATTTTATAGGTCTTTGTTCAATATTACAATTCTAATGAACTTTTAATTATATAAAAGGAGAATACAAGAAAAGATCTAAAATACAAACTAATTAAATTATCTTATTAATCTAAGCTGGATCTTAATGATTAAATAATACTTCAGCATATACATATCATTTATATACATATCCTCTGCAAACTGTACGCCGAAATTATTTTCAGTCTTGAAATACAATCCTCAGAATCGTTCAATTATTTCCATTAATCTGTACCCAGGTAGCAAGCTACGTCATTTTGACGTCATTTTGACGTCAGCTTGCTACCAGGGTACATACTCCTAAAATGAGATATAATAATACATCACAAATTAAATTGATAAGCAACTTAATGACATTAATCCTAATAGATGAGCAAAGAACTGTAAATAATTTGATGCTGATATGATTTATTACAAGATAACTTATTATTTAACATCAAATTATTTACATCTGCTTGAAATGCTTATTAGCATCAATATCATTAAATTTCTTATTAATTTAATTTATCCTAGTTTAGTTTAAAATTACCTTTCCGATGGAAAATGATTTTGATAAGCAGTTTGCATAGCTGGATACATATATACATTCATATCACAAAGTATTATTTATATAAGCACTTATATAGATCCTGCAGTTTAAATTTAACTAATAAAATTTTTTCATTATTTATTGTTAGTTGTGTAATTCATATCTTATGACACTATTATTATATTTTATTTGTATATACCATCAATTCATCTGTTTTAACCCGTTTAACTGCAGAAGGACCATTATCTTCTTCATTATTTTCGTCACTATTATCTTCATTTTCAATCTCGGACATTAACAAAGCTGTTAATCCGTTTCGTAACTTGATAACTCTAAATTTGAAAAACAAAACGAATATATGATGAAATGTTAAGACACATCACTGAGAATAATGATCATATAAGAAAAACCTTTCCGAATCGTTTCTTGTAAAAGATGTAACGTTTCTCTCAAAAGAGAAAGGTCATCATATTATGATAATTAATGTTTCTCATACTTATTATATCGATCGAAATTATACTTTTTTTATAGAAATTTAATACTAGTACTAGCCAATTAATAATTTATTTTGACTATTTTGAGTATTAAAAGTACTAGCTGTTAATGTATAGTATACTTTTAATAATACTCAGAATAAGTGATTAATTGGCCAATAAATTTCTATAAGGGTTATTACTGAGAGAGAGTATTATATTTGCTCTCATATATCTTACCTATATTTCATCAAATCAGTCTCTGATTTAATGGGCGTCTCCAGATATTCTACTTGATAACGCTCATCGGTTGTATCGATCTCCATCTCCATTATTATATCGATACGCAGGACAATCAAAACGAAAATGAGATCTGTTGGTTTAATATCCGGTCAAAGAACTCACAATATGATATTCAATCGTTTTCAACTTTCCAGTAGATTATTTTAATCAGCACTCTAACTGATACTTTTATTCTTTCTGTATGGCATCTGCCTTCGAAATTCGAAAAGGTCAATACAGTCAATATCTTCGTGTACATTGTAAACAGAAGGGACAGATAATAAGCAAAGTCTTAGATATGTTTACATATTTATATTATATATTTACGGTTTCTATAAAAGACGTGATTCACAATTACTTCTTAAAAGCAAGAAAACTTTAATATAATTATAATATATAACATATAATAAGAAATTAATTTAAAATTACTAATTCAAATCAAATTTCTAAGTATATTATAATTTGTCTATTCTGATTTTTTTTCCGTATTAAACGCAGGAAATTAATAATATCTATTATAATAGCAAAATATAAAACAGGAATATCTAATAATTATTAATCATCTATTAAATAATTAAATTAATCAGAATGGTTGCATTCAGTACTATGACCGCTCACTGAGCGTTCAGTGAGCTCTTGTATCTATTTGGTCTATATTTTTAGTTCTAACGGAATATGCCAATCAGATGCAAGAGCTCACTGAGCGCTCAGTAAGCGGTTGTAGTACTGAATGCACCCAATGTAATCCAATTCATCCAAAAAATTGCCGTTTTCGAATTCAATTTTATTGCAAATTCAATTATAACTGTCCAGACAGCACACAATATTTACAAAATATTTACAAAATATTTATAAATATTTATAAGATTTATTTTAAATATTTTGTAAATATTTTTGTGGTTTTAAATTGCACAGATCATAAATATTTATTATAAATATTATAAAATACTTATTAGAATAGTTATAGTAAATGCTATGAAAATACTTAATGAGACATTATA